TGGAAATTTTATTCATTTATTTAGTTAATTGATATTTAGTTATATATATATATATACAAAAATGATCTAACGAGCACCGATGCTCATTAGATCATTTCTGTATATATATATATATATTCTCAATTTAAGATCGTATTAAATTATAGCCTAAAAAACAAGAAATTATAAGCTAAAGATTGAATGGGACGATCTGCCTACAATCTTATTCGTCACACATATTTCAAAATATATTGTATCATGATCATGGTAATAACGGGAACCATGATCCCTATTATTTTTTTAATTTTACTATATCAGATGGCAAATATGACATCGTTAATCAAAGACACCTTTCTACTTGCAAAAGGCAGATTTTCAGCACTATTTTCTACCAAACTATGAATAAGAAAAATGTAAAACAGGACTATAAATCATCTCAAGGTATTTGAAATATTTGATCAGCTGAATGATAGCAAGGTGTCGCTATTTCCAGTTTAAGCTTTCACGGGAAAAAAATGATAAACAAGTTTCGGGATTAGGCAGATCCTAGTAGTAGCGTTCTTTGTACAATTTATTATATACACTACTCAGAAACAGAACTTTTTGTGTGCACACAAGGAATAAGCACCTGTAAGGCTGTAAGTTGGCCTGATTCCCAGAGACGAAATAAAGCTCTACTTGATTCTTTGACGAAATATGCCCAATGGATTCTCATCCATCAGATCTACCATTGTATGGTAAATTTTTTGTTCCCTTTTCTTCTTGCAAACTTGTTAGAGTGATGGTTTATACATGGAACATGGACCAAAAACAAAAAAAAAAATGACAAATTGGTTGTGCAACTAAAATGTCCGTCATTGAATGCAAAGCTCGAATTGGATGCTTTCATGTAGCAAAGCTGAATTCAAGCAACATGATGAGTGAAGTTCAATAACCATTATAGATATGCAATGTAAACTATAAGATACGGTAAAAACTTGAGGAAAAGTGTATTCGAGCAATAAGCATGAAAATGTGCAACTTCTGATATCATAATCTATGATTTAAATCTATATATTTAAAGATCAAGATACAGAACCTCAACTTGAGAGACCAAACAAAGGTCGAACATCCTATAAATCTACAGCTCTCAGATGACAATCCAAGACTAAAGAGCACTTCATAACAAACAAAAAACAGACTACACAAAAAGTAAAACTCGAGATTTCTACATTATTAAATCTATAATCTATCAAAGACATGAGCTTTTAAAATGGTTGATAGGCACTTTTATCTATCTTTGTAATGTTGCAACTTATTCATCACCAAGCACCACCATAAGATAAGCAAAACTGTGAGCATCAGCTCCAACAAGTCCAGTGGGAACAACCAGACATGGTACTAAATGTCTTTGGTTTAATGCTCTCCTCTTCCCTGTTCATATTTACTTCCTCCTCAGCCTCCAATAATCCACTAGCAGTACTTATGCGATATAACACATCTTCCTCCTTGTATCTTCTACTGGACAATGACTACATTTTGCTACAATTTCTGATTCTTATCATCCTCACTTACATCTTCTTCACATGTGAAGGAATAAATTTTAGAACTTCTGGAGTTGTTTTCCTCTTTTTTTTGAACTACGCAGCTTCTTTGGAACTAGTTTCTTCATCTTCGATTTGATCTTATCCTTCCGGGACATCCTCCTCTTCAATTCCAACACTTCGCAAACAGACTCTTCTACGTCATTCACCACCTTCTCCAAGTCTATTTCTTTATGTCCCAATTTCCCTTTGCAAATGTGCTCATCCATTATCTCCTTCTCACGTGGAATTAGCTCACCACAGTATTGTTCTATAACTCGAGATTCTTGAAATGGCCTCATTGATTCACAATTCTCGAAGTCAGAACAGCCAGGATCAAAATTATTTTGATCTGAATTATCCTCTTGGAATCTGAAAACCCTTTGAACAGTCAATCTTAATCCCTTCTGTGCATCTAAACACGACTTCAACATTCCGCAAGTATATTTACCAACATACTCCAGGAGAATCAATAAGAAGGCCGAAATGGTTATCCCGACGACGAATTTCTTCGTCCCCAAAACCAAAACCACCACCAAAATTAACTTCACAACAGACACCACAACCTACCTTCCAACCCACTTGCATTAGCACCCACGGAAACTTCATCAAAATTCCTAGTCTCGGGAGGCAAAGGATTGCAAGAAGACGAAGAACAGGGAGAAGATAAAGGCGTCGTAAACGAAGGACTTGGTAAAATGCTTGAGGATTGCCTGATCACCGGATCATTATTTTCGTTTTCCGGTGGAATTTCTGGTGGCTTTGCCCGGTTTTTCTTGGATGGCTTTCTCAATTTGTCCCCATTCTTGATTGCAAAATCTACAAGGAAGGTAGGGAACCCGGTCTCCACCATAAGAGAAGAGCCCCCAGGCCTTTTCTTAGAGTTCTGCACATGATCGTTCACCAATTGCGAAACTCTTGAGCTCTTTGCCTTCTTCCATGGAAATGGCATGGCAAAATCACTTGCTATAACCAATTATCCAGTGTTCCAAATAGAATAACAACAAAATGAGGGATTGGTTCAATTTTGTGCTATTGAATCATACAACATTCTGGGGTGGAATTCTACTAAAAAGAGCATCAGAATGCGAGGTAGGATCGATTTTGTGCTATTGATACATCAAATTAAAAGCATTGTAAAGACGGGTGGAGTTTTGCGGATATCATTTGAATTTCTTAATGGAATTTTTATCAATGGATTTGTGGAGGTATATAAAAAAATTTATGCATGAAAGATTCAAAATAAATCATGAGGTACCGAAGAAGAGTGAAATATGAATTACGAAGAAGGCGGCGATGTATTTGTTTTACTTTAACTTTATGGACGGCGGGAAATAAATGAGTAAAATATAGGATTACATAATGTAGTCTCTTTTGGCAATTGATACTTACATTTTTCAATCTCTTCAGAATCTCACAGATTTCAGATATTCGAAGAAGGCATTAGTCGAGAGCGGACCAAGTGGCCTTTTGACACTCAGGTCGAGATTAGGCAGAGAATTTATCGACTAATGTTGTGAAACAAACTTGGAATTAAGATAAACGGTAATCAACCATGGTAATTACAAAATTTTAGCACAAACTAAAATGTAACTCATGTATAATCTATAACTTAATTTCCATTTTCCACCATTGAATCAAAAAATGCATCTGCACAATGAATCCAGTAACATATCTATCAAACAAATAATGCATACTCGGCATGGAATTTACAGTATTTTTGTCCATTGGCATGTTTTGTAAGAAGGATTGCATAGAATTAGAATGCAATGTCTATCCTACGCTGCCTTACTTCTGAGGCTGATAAAAACACCAAGAACACTTCATGGATTGGTTCTTTAATAAGGCAATATTCTTGGGTTGAGTATGGTATCCAGATTTCCATATCCAGTGCGTCGATGTTTTGGCTTAAATACTCAGCCTGATTCAGTAATATAGGACTCTCAGGGATTATACTGGCGTCACAGTTCTCATCGTTGAACTATTTGTCGGTCAAATTCAAATATTTTCCCGGGAAACTACTACTCCAAATTTGCAGTTATTTCACATCCTCTTCAACCAAATCAGCCCAACTCTTCTTTTTTACTTCCGCAAATTAACTATTCGTTAGTTATTTTTCAATCTTTCTACAGTTCTAGATTTTCCGAATCTTCTTTACCTGCTTTAGGTTCCAAACTACATGTGTTGGTGAAATTAGAACTCGGAGCATAATCCTCTTCAGAGGTTTCTCTAGAGTTTGTACAATCACCAGAA